TTGCAGTGGCACTGTGTTTCCACTATGTTTCCAGCTCCCTTTCGGACATATGTCCCCAGATATCTCATAAGTACCTTAAATTTAAAATTTAACTTTTCCAAAATTAAATTTATTTTCTTCTCTATCATACTTGGCTTTTTCCTGTACAAGGTATCTTAGAACTACAAGAATCTAGCCAGACACCCTTGGTTAGAGTAGCTTAGGATTTCTTTCTCAGGAACCATCTTTCCTACTTATTCTCCATCTAGTCTACTTTGAAAGGCTCTTGAATCTACCCTTAGCTATCAGTTTTGTTACCCTCACTGAGGCTCTAAACATTGTTTGTTGCATGAAACTGTACAAAAATCTTAAAATTACCTCCTCTCCTCATTCTTTTTTTTCCCTCTATTCTATGTATGAATATATTTCATGAAACATAGATCTGATTTGCTTAAAAGCCCTTGATGGGTCATTACTCGTAAACTTGCATTTTGTGTCATAGTTTTAAATGCTGCTCAACATCAGAAACAAAGGACTACTGAATCCACACTACCAGCTTGTTCACCTTTTGTGTTCAAACTGTTCCTTGTATCTTTTTGGATTCCTCCAGGCAGGGCTGGCCAAGTCAGCTTCCATTACGTTTACTGCTTTATATAGTAAACTTAGGTTTATGTATGTGTCCTCAAATAAATAAAACTTTTAGTGATTAATTTACTACTATAATCCAATGCCTTTTGAATAAAATATTCTCAGAAGGAAATATCAGAGGTAAATGCTTATAAACTGCTAGTCCAACCTCTTTACTTAACATATAAAATCAGAGTAAAGGGGTTAAGTGACTTTTATAAGGTCCCAATTTGTTATTGGAAAATATAGCTTAAAATCAGTTATTCAAGGGTCCAAAACACAAGCCAGTGGTTTTAAGACATGACTAGTACTCATTTTCTTGTTTTATTTCTCCCTACCTTAACAGATAGTACAATTTATCGTGGTACATTGCATCTTGATAAAAGGTGAAAAGTTTTGTCTTCTCTCTACTTGGCTTGCGTTGTTCGTAGAGCCCCGACTGCTATGGAGAGAAGGCTGTGTGTTGGGATGCTGCAGCCAAACCAGATCTGGGTCTCCAGCCAGAGCAGTGTGGTACCATACTTGAGTCCCTGGGATAGAGCGCTGCCTACCTAATAGCAGAGCTGCCGTGGGCAGAGTGTGAGGGGACGATGGAGGTGAACCTCAGTAACAAAGCCTCTGGTGGGCTGAGCTGGGTGGTGCTGAGGTGTGGGGTCATGTCACTGATGAAGGGGAAGCTTCTTCCACTTGCTGGAGTTCAGTAGCTCCCATCTTTTCATCTACCCCATATTTTCTCGTGTCAAGTGCTCTGCCTTTGTATAGATCAGGAAGTGACTTGGTATTCTTCCCAGAACATAGTAGTTTAAATACAGTAAAAAATAACTGTCACAATGCAGTGACAGGAGGAACTGTGGTAGTTCATGGGCTAGAGTTAGTTATTCAGGGATTTTTTTTTTTTACCTTTATAGCTGCAATTTAAGGTCTGCTGGTATCTGAAATGTTGTCACAACGTGACAGAGTCCAAATGAACATTTAATGTATTGATGTAGGTGCTTGATTCATTCATACTGCATGTAGGTCCAGAAAACTTCCAAGAGGCTTGCAAGTAAATAGGTTGTAATTTGTTAATTTTTAAAACATGTTGCTATAAAATACTTTTCTTTCTTTGTTGAATGTCTAGATTCCCCACGGGAAAGGTGAAAATTCCTAAGTGAAAAATCATAGCTTCATTTTCTTTCCCTTTCCTTTTCTGTAACTATAAAATAGTACCACTATGTCAACTAATTGCAGCAAGTACTTTTCCATGGTACTTTGTATCTTTTTAGCTTTTGCCTAAAAGTATCTTTGACCATGGAATAATTTTAACAGGTTTCAGTTTTCAAAGTTGGTACAAATCTTTGTTGATTTTTTGACTTACATGCTGCTCTTCAGGGGCTATGACCTTTTTCATTTTTATTTTACAAAATAGAACTAGGGCCAAACTTTTGTTTTTGGCTAAGAAACTTTATATTTTTGATTTCGTTAGAGGTATTTCTCCCCTTCCCTGCTAGTCTGTACTTTGCACAAGTCCATGTCTTTAAGTCCAAGTATTTAGGAGAAAGAAGAGAGAAAGACCATTTGACTTTCAAATTCAATCTTTTCATCATTAAAATAATCATATGCACTTATTAGTGACATGGAACAGGACATGATGTTTGTAAAGTGCTAGCTTTATTGCTTGCCTTGCGGCTTTTCTAATAAAGTGGATTTTCAGTTTCAAAATTTGGTATTTTGAACTATTATCATCTTCTAAATTGAACTATTTTCTAAGCAGAATGGTATTTTCTGTATAGACAAGGGATAGAAGATGGTCATTTCTGTTGAGACATAATACAGCCTTCGGCTAGTTGAGCTGCTCTCCAGGAATAACCTACATGAACCATGTTACCTTTCACACAGATGGAGGAAGGGCACATCTGCCCAAGCGCTTTTGAGAGAACACATGTAGAAAGATGAGCAGAGAAATGAAGACGGGCTCAGACCACTGATCAAGTTATGCACAACTAGAGTGAGAAAGATAAACTATTCTAAAAGAAGAAAATTGGTGTTGTGTCTCAATGCATGATTATGTTTTAAAAAATATTAACACTGTGTCTCTGTAATTAACCAACCTGGGTAATTTAAAAACTTTTCTAATCTCTGTAGCTGGTATTTTTGTTTTGGGTCTTAATCCCTCTGACACATCCCTTACAAGTCTTTGGTGATCTCCATGTATGCATATTAATTATTTCATTTCTCCCCTTGTGTATTTCAAAGGCTACCGCCCTAGGCTAAGCCCAGTCATGACACGTGATACCGCCCTTCGTGCTTTCATTCAGAGTGCACATAGACCATGTGTTTGGCCTCAGCCTTGGCCGTGTGCTTCTCCTCCACATCTCTTTGCTGATGTGTGAACCCCTCAGCTACCTGGCCACCTCCTTGGTGAAACTTCAGACCCTCTCTCTCCGACATAGTGTTACAACAGTAGTGTTTAGGGCACGTTTCTATCCCTTTTTATGTGTGTGCACCCCTTAGTGAATTCTGAACACCTTAAGGAGAAGACTGTTTTCATCTGTTGATAAATCCTAACATCTGAGGTTGGATACAGTACTCAGCAATGTTCAAGACTCATAAAGTGAAGAGTAGATCAGTAATAGATCATATGATCTGTTCATGCAGTATGTGAGATACTCTCCATGCTCAGAGCCTGACTGAGGCCAGAAAAAGCAGGTGCTTCTGAGGAGAGTTGCAGCAATGCTCTCCTGCCCCGTGGGTAGATTACATAGCCCGGACAGAGCCATCTGGGAAACTTTTACGAGTTCTCTGTCCTGTGTAGCATGGTCTGATGGTGACTTTTTTCAGAGGTATCTGGCTGGCAATTGTGATATGTAATTACTGATCCAGAATCCAGTCCTAGATGGATGACATTTCTCCTCTCTGTTTGAGAACCGTGGAGAAGTCCTGTTTGCTGTTTTGTACTTTTATCAATCCATAAGGAGCACACTGTAGTGTTGCTGTACTTTCCATGACCATAAATGTGCAACCTGGCAAGATAGATTTCTAAAAGTTGCAATAAATAGATGACTGACAGTAGTTAATATTTTTAGGAGTTTTTCCAGTTACACTGAATATTTTTGATTCATTTGTGATTCTTTTCATAATGTGGAAATATTACCAGTTTCTGAAAAATTGTGGATCACTGTTTATGGATCACTGACTGAAGAAAATGAAATTTTTTTACTTTCTTGAAGTAAAATTGCATACAATAAATTGCATATATAGTATACAATCAGAGAAATTTTGATATGTTTATAACCATGAAACCTTACCACATTCAAATATTTTCACGAATTCAAAAGGTGGCTTTGGAATCTACCCCTTTGTTTACCCTCAACTTCAGATGGCCTATGATCTGCTTTTAAGCACTCTTTAAGTATGATTTTATTTAAATGAAATGACATAGCAGGTGCTCATTTTTATTTGGCTTCTTTAACACAATTAGTTTATAATTTATCCATGTGTTTGCATGGTCAACCCTTCATTTCTTTACACTGCTGAGTAGTATTTCGCTGTTTGGATGCACTGTGTGAAGTTAGGGTTGGCGCTCATTATTTTCACACAGCCGTGCAGTTGATCCTGAACCACTTGAGAAGGCTTTCTGTTCTCCTTGGAATTGCCTTCCTTTACCAGACATCAGTGACCATACATGTATGTGTCTATTTCTACTCCAACTCATTGATCTGTGTCTATCTTTTGCCAACACAGTGTCTTTTTGACTACTGTAACTTCATAATAAATCTATATAATGAGTTTTAAAAGTTACTCTTAAAAGTCTGTTTTCTTACAAATTTTAGAAACAGCTTGCCAAATTCTACCTAAAAACCTGTTGTTATTTTAAGAGTAGAAGTACATAAAGTTAGGTCTTTTTAGGTGTACAGCAAAATAATTATCATTAGTTGACCGTCCAATATGAAGTCTGTGTTTCTGGCTTAATTTTGGATTCATCTTCTCACAGCTTGCAGAAATTTCTATGAAAATATGTAAAATGTTAACATTCTTTCTTACCACACTAAAACTGAGATTGAAGGATGATCTTTTGTTAGAATTTTAAAGGCTTATCTCATAACCGTATAGCCATTATATTTAGATTGAATTTAAAAAGCAGTGTTTTTCCCGTCTTTTATCTCATGAAAAATAACGGTGTTAGTTCCCTGAGAAAGTGTAGACAGATAAATTTGATTCTTCACCCCATCAATCTCTGAATACAGAGACCTGTGTATCAATTTCGAAGGCAGCTGGAAGATGGTAAGGTAAGGAAATGGAAGACAGGGAGGAGCGAGGAAGAAGAGCAAAGAACACTTCTCGGCCTGCTCCTGTCCCCAGCTATACGTCCTTCCAAATATTTTCCTCTAAAGTCCAGTTTCTTATCCTCATAGACAAGGTCGTTTACATTGGGTCCTGTATGCCCTTCAGCAGTCATCCAAGCACGGAAAGGCGGTGTTTTCTGCACTGCCACGAAGACTTCTTGGGCCGGATGGCAGGTGAGGTGCAGAGGTCAGCTGTGTGCAGTTATGGGAACCATTTAGGAACTGTGTTTATCAGCTTCCACTAGCACTATTACTAGCAGTGGTGCTGTGTTACTGCCATTATTAATAATTGTTTATTGGATTACAAGCACCTTAATGTGCTTTGTTATTTAATTTTCATATCAAATCAGTGAGCTCTGTATTACTTGAGAGTTAAAAAGTTTAAGTATTCAGATCCATTAACAAAATGGGGCAAATCTTGATTTTAGCTTAGAGTTTAAAGTTATCAATACAGAGCCTGGCACATAATAAATACATGATAGTCTCTACTGTTATCATTTTCATCATCATTGTTGTTATTATTTTTATTTGCATTAAGGTTAGATAATTAATGAATAGCCAGAAAGTGATGAGGAAACTTTATATTCAGTTTTGCCAATTTTAGAGCCCTTATTCTCAACCTATATTATGAACTTACTTATTTTGCAATTCAAAATTTGTGACTGAGCTACGTCCCTGGGCCTTTTGAAAAATTTTATTTTTACTTTGAGAGAGGATCTCGCTAAATTGCCAAGGCTGGGTTTGAACTCATAATCCTCCTGCCTCAGCCTGTCAGAGTGATGGGATCACAGAAGTGTACCACCACACCAAGCTATGAACATTAATTTTTTAGCTAGAGGAAAAGCTATACAATTTTCTGAGGCTAAACCATAAATCTGAATAAGGTGAAAAGAATACAGCCACACTGTTGTGCACTTGGTGAGAAAATAATGAGGAACAAGAGAATGAGTACATTTTCAGGATCCAGAAAATTATATCCTTGAAAATGGAGAACTAGAAGAAAATTCAGAGAAGACAATTGAAGAAGGGCTTGTATGAAAAATCAGTAATGGTCTCAGTGAACATAGTACCATACAAGATGAGGAAAATATTAAGAGAATAAAATTTGCTTTTATACAATTAAAATTAGCACTGGAGAAGAGACAATTGATATTGTGGAAATAATCATCGATCTAAAGGATAATCTCCAAATATTTGCTCTAAGTGGGAGTGGGGTCAGGTTAAAATGATGAGAAAATGATTGATGATAGAAGCTTAGAAAGTTCAGTGTTAATTTAGGTGGTCTTATAGAGAAATCAGAGCTTTTAGGGGAATATACAATGAAAGCAAATAATGAAAAATCTTATGAGCTAAAAATGATCTAAATATGTGATCAAAAGAGCTAACTGTATGCAACTCACAGTAGTGAAAAGAAACCTACAGCTAAATACATTCTCTTGACATGTTTGTATTTCTTAGAAGAAAAAAATCTTAACAATTGTCCCAGATAAGAAACAAGAAACATTACTTGTCTATTTCTTTTTGTCAACAGTAAATAGTACAAAACAGAATGCTTAGAAGTACCGTGAAAAACTATTGTTGAAGGAGTTGTATGTCCAAAGTCAATAGAAATATATTCTTTGTTATTCATGATCTTAGAAAGTAGATTCCCTTGTTTTCTTTGTAATAAATTCATTTGAAAACCTATTCTAGCTGGTAAGGTGATGACCGTCCAAAAAGTTAGGGATAGGAAAGTATAACTAGAACTATATAAATATAGTTTATGTGTTGATTAACCATAAGAATAGTAATAGTAGGGCCGGGGATTTAGCTCAGTGGTTCTGCCACCTGCCTCGAAAGCGCAAGGACCCGAGTTCGATCCCCAGTACCAAAACAACAACAACAACAACAACAACAAAAACTGAAAAAGAATAGTAATAGTTAAGCTGAGACTAAGGCCTCAGAAATTATTAATTGCAATGTGAAAGGTTCCGTTTTAATATATATGAAGAAGAATATAGTCACAGTTATCTGGGTCCCAAATTCCATATTACATTTTTTTAACAATTGTGACTGAATACACATAAAATTTGCCACCTTGACCGTTTTGATACATAGTTCAGTAGCGTTAAGTACATTTGTATTGTTGTATATCTGATCTCCAGAAATTTATCATCCTGCAGTATTTAAATTCCACAACTTGCTGCTCTCCCTTCTCTTCAGCTCCCGACAGTCACTATTCTACTTTGTTTCTATCTCCTTTACTATTCTCCATATTGTATGTGAGTGAAAGCATACAGTGTGTATCTTTTTTTGACTGGCCTAGTTCCAGATTATATTTTAACAAACTGAAAATAGGAGGAGCTGGAGAATTTTGGGAAACAGGGAGTGGCAGGCTTGTCTTCTCTTTTTAGAGTAATTTGATGTTGTCTTTTACTAAAGTCTTTAGTAAAGGCTGTCTTTCATCTTATTTTTGCTTAGATTTGTTATTAAGTAAATCAGCATTTTGGTTTCAGGTACATTTTGTGCATCCTGATTTGGTCATGTGACTTTAATGACAATAATATATTGTCTGTTTAATAGCATTGCTGTATTCAGTTTGGTAATATTTTATTTAAGGTTCTTGAAGTTGCATTTGTGAGTTTGATTTTTTGTTCGTTGGTTGTTTTGTTTTGATGAACGAGGTTACAAGTTTAGATTTTTAAATTTTGGTGGCCTCAGAAAGGCTCACAAGAGAGCTTTCTTATTCAGAAAGTTTGTCATCATTTTCTAAGGCTGAAGATAGTATGACTAGCATTGAAACCTAAAGGATGGATAAAAAATAGATGAAATCCAGCTGTGCACCCATCTGGATCTAGTACTTTTCCCAAAGATGGTTCTTTAATCACCTTTATGTTCTCCTCTAGGATTGTTAGATTCAAAGTACATGGGGATCACCTGCAGATCTTGTTAAACTGCAGGTTCTGCTTCCCCGTCGAGAGTGGAGCCTGTCCTTCTGCGTTTCTTTTAAGCTCCAGGTTATGTACGTGCTTTGGGCTCTGCTGTGTGATTCATTGGCAGCATAGTGGTTCCCAAAATGTGCCACACATTTGAATCCCTTGGAGGAACTTTTAAAAAACCCTCATGTCCAGGTCTCATCCAAAAACAATTAAATCAGAATAGCTGGAGTTGGAAGCCAAGCATAAAAATTGATTTCAAGAACCCCAGGTGGTTCTAATGTTTGAGAAAATTTGGGGAACCACTGCACTGGGTAATTGGTCTATTTCAGGTTTTCCACTTCTTGGCAATTTTGGTTACTTTTATTTTACTAAGTAATCGTCCATTTAAGTTTTCAAAGTTGTGGTCAGTAAACTGTATGTGTTATCCTCTTATAATTCTTTGAACATGTTTGGTTTCCATGGTTATGTCTCCTTTCTATTCTTGTATATTTTTGCTTTCTCTCTTTTTCCCTTAATCAGCCTCACAAATGGCTTTTCTGTTTTGCTTCTCTGTACAGAGAATTTTTTTGTTGCTGTTGTTTAATCATTTTCAATATTTTTTTCTAACCTGTTAATTTCAGCTTTTGTCTGTAATTCCACTTTTTAAATGTTTCTTGGATTGTTTTGCTTCTCTTTTTCTGCTCTTAAAATGTAATGCCTGTTGCTCCACTATTATTTGAAAATTATTTAATATCAACTCATAGGTGCTACTATTATTATCTGTAGGTTAGAGAAAGGTGATGTATAGGGAGCCTATCTTAGCTTTTCTTAGTAAATGGCAACCTGAGCTTGGAGGTAAGTTCATCCAGAGTCACCTTCTACTTACTGTGCTCTGGTGCTTGGAGGGAGGCATTGTTTCCACATGCATAGATACGATAAAAGGCATTCGTATCATTTTATTATGCCATAAAAATAAACATAGTCCATTTAGTGAACTATAAAATATCTGTCCTAATGAATGTAAAATTCTGAAGAGTTGAATATTTTCTTGGAGTTTGTATTAAAATTATGTATTTAATTTCTGACTCAAATAATTTCAGTGACCATCAGGAATTTGCATTTCATATTGAAGGTTAAACTGAATTCTCAATTAATATAGGCTGAGATTCAGTTTTGAACAAAGAACCATCTTTGTGATGATTAATATTTCTATTTTATAATCTTTGTTTCCAATTAACCATGAGCAATTCTGATGAGCAGAGAAAACTGAAGATAGACTTATGTCTCATGTATAATTTAAAATATATAAAATTATCTCAAAAATAAAAAGCAATAGTAAAGTAATATTCATGAAAGACTCAACATTATGTAAGGACCTTCTCTAAAATAGATTTGGGAAACATTTTACCAGTGAGTTTTTCCCAGACTTGTAAGAACTTTTCATGAAACCATGGTTTGTTCTGTTCCACAACACAGAAATAATAGGCTGTCATCCAAACCATGCGTGCCTATAAATAATTCTGGTATGAAGACTTGACAAATAAAATACAAAATTCTTACACAAGCTTTCCAAGTACATATAGAAAATTTGGAAGAAACAATGAGCAAACCAATTCAGTAGTAAATTAAAAGAATTATTTTTCATGAACCAACAAAATAATTGAATCTAAAAATCCAGTAATTTATAATACAAATAAATGATGTAAGAAAAAAGTATAATGTCTTTTAATGCTGAAAAACGATTTAATAATAATAAAAAACTATTATCATAAGAGAAATTTTAAAAATCAAGAAAAATAAAGATAAGTGAATATTCTTTCAAGTGTACAAAAAAATTAATATATCAACAGCAAACAATATCATAAATGGGAATTTCTAGAAGTAACTTTATTGTTAGGAATAAAATATTCCTGCTAGCACAATTCATATTTTACATATTTTTATGTTTTTTTTCAGTGCTGTGGTTTTTTCAGATGTTTTATTTTGAATGTTTTTTCTTTAAAAATGAAACAAAAAATTTTATCTGAAATAAATGAAAATTAAACATTCATGTTATGACATCTTTCCCCTATCAAATTCCACAATTAAAACTAATCCCTACTAGTATGTCATTCTGGGTGGTGAGATGGTCATATTTGTGACCTGCTCTAGGGAGTATAACTTGGAAAAACCTTTATGGAAAATAGTTTGACAGTTCTTACCAAGAGCTTTTAAAGAGTTTATGTCCTTTGACCCAGTAATCCTGCTTCTGGGAACTCCAGCCGAAGGAAATCATGA